TTGACCTTTTTCTGAGCTATAAAACTAGCTCCTTTGTAGAAAGCTACTCCTACTCCTACTCCTTTGCCTCTCTTTGTTGCTGAGGCGGCCGCTCGCTTGTAAAACACGTTATCTTTTCATCAATTTATGAACCTCTTATCAACGTGTGAAACTATCTTAAGTCAAGACTTAATTTATACTGGCCCTTAATATACTAGCCCTTGATAAATCGCCTCTCTAGAGATATACGAAAAGTGGACAATTCATTCTATAATCTAAGCTGGTGCTTACTGCGTTCCCTCGCTCTTCCTAAGTACAAATCCTGAATTCTCCCATCCTCGTAGCGCATTTTGGCATTTATCCCACCACGACTGAATACCTCCGAACCAAACTAATGGCTCACGCTTCTTGCCCGGAATGTTTGCCCCTACCCACCATGAATCAGTCTCGGTGGACAGTGTTCTTCCGTAATGGCTCCAAACAAGTTCCTTCCAAACCTCTCCAGCTTTCTCAGACGCTTCAATCGACTTGATATTTTCATTGCGAAGCCTTTCAAGAAGTTGTGTCAGCCAGTCCACCTGCAACTCGATAAATGGCGGTCCATTAACAATCGAACTTGGTGCCTGTGGTGCATACAGGAAGAATGCGTTTGGAAAACTAGGTACCGTCATGCCTAGATGCGTGTTGATGCCATTCTTCCATTTGTCTTGAAGTTTGACGCCATCTCTGCTATGGATATTCATCTTGAAAAGACTACCCGTAAGGTTGTCGTAGCCCGTTGCTACAACTACTATGTCTAATCCCCAAAGCTTACTAGTATCCTCGTTTCCCGTAATAATGCCCTCGGTGGTGAACTCTTGGATAGGTGTCTCTTTAAGGTCAACCAAGGTGACATTAGGTCGGTCCATGGATTCGTAGTAGTCTTGCTCTAGACTGGGCCGCTTTGCACCGAGCCAGTATTGCTGTTTTTTGGGGGCTAGAATCTCTCTTTTAACAGGATCATTTATCCTTTCTCTTACCTTTCGCGCCCAAAAGTCATATGCACTGGCATTTGCGGCCTTATTAGTCATGATATCGCGGTAATTACAAGATAAGAAGACAAAACCGCCTCGCTGCCAAAGCCATTCGTAAAGGCGCTGTCGCTCTTCCTCAGTCGTGTCTGCCCAATCGGTTTGATTTATGTTGTAAGGGTATCCAGTCTCTGTATGGTGTTTTGCGAAGCCAAGAATCGCGCCGTAGAAGCTTTTCAGATTATCGGAGTCACCAATAGATATAGTCTTCTGATTCATAGGAAACCCTGTCGAAGGGTTACGGATGAACACTGAAAGTTCGCAACTCTCCTTGGCCAGTTCCTGTACAATTTGCAATCCAGATGCTCCTTGCCCAATAACACCAATCTTCTTGCCTTGTGGATCGAAGTGTTCGGGCCAGGAGGCCGGATGGATTAACTGGCCTTTAAATTTGGATTTTCCTGGCCAATCCGGAATGTATGGGTCACAAGACGCTCCCACTGCAAAGACTGCGTAAGTGGATGTAGCCTTCAATCCGTTGGCCTTGAAGCTCCACATATTGTTCTCCGTGTCGTATTTCACTTCCTCGACTCTAGCGTTGAAATGGGTGTCTTTCCGAAGGTCAAGCACCTTGTCTATGTGGTTAAAGTATCTTCGCAGCTCAACATGGTCAGGATAGCGTTCTGAAAAGTTGAAGCCTTGCCAGACTTCTGGCAGACACAATTGATACGCTGGTGTTTCGGTGTCAACCCTCGCTCCAGGGTAGCGATTGATTCTCCAGACCCCGCCAAAGTCTGTAGAAGCCTCGAGAATCTTCACCGTGTATCCCATCAGTCGCAGCTTGTGGAGAGCATAACATCCACTGAACCCAGCCCCAACGATGATTATGTCGGCCTTGATTTCAGTGATTGTGCCGTTGGAACGCGAATTAGACATTGTTGTGAACTGGTAGTCTGTTAGAAGTATCAAATATGTGCTGCCGTTCAATACTATACAGAAGCTTCATTACATATACTTAGTGAGGTTAGTGGCGTTGCCTGAAAAGAGCGCACTGATATAATGAATTTTGCACTACCTCAGTATATGGACGAATCTTGAGCCGGATCGTAATCCCTGCAATGCGCGTATACGACATATACGATGCAATCCCTATAGTGCGTGTATATAATGTATGCGACGTATTCGCCGTATTCTAGTTATCGGGCCTTTCTCCTCCATCTTTCTATCTCCACATTTCACTTCGGATTGTAAACTATCCGCTCACCGAGTTGTACTTACCCCGCATTGAATATGTACCAGTAACTAGCGTCCCGGACATTCCGCCCCTAGCTCCTTACGACATATACGATGCAATCCCTGTAGTGCGTGTATATAATGTATGCGACGTATTCGCCGTATTCTAGTTATCGGGCCTTTCTCCTCCANCTTTCTATCTCCACATTTCACTTCGGATTGTAAACTATCCGCTCACCGAGTTGTACTTACTCCGCATTGAATATGTACCAGTAACTAGCGTCCCGGACATTCCGCCCCTAGCTCCTTACGCATTAAGCCCCTTGGCCCTGTCCCTAGGCTTTCTTCATCACATCTGAGTCAGATTGTTAAATTGATTGCAAGTAAAGCGGTGGCACCTAGTTTCTGTTGAGTCTATCATTTCTTTCTTACCTTTTTAGAGGCAAGTTGGCGGAGTAGCGCGGAGGTTAGACTGTTTTCAATTTAATAGGTAGGATAGGCTTGAACGAAGGCCCCGTGATTTGCTTTCGCGATTGCCGACTATCACAAATTCGTACTGTACATCCGTTATGGTTCGCCTTTTTCCTCCGGAACATGCTGATCCATAGTCTGGCACCTTGTAATACTTAGGTTCAGAATGTCTCGAGCTGCAAGCTTGCTGTAAGGGGTTAGTCAAGATTGACAGACAAGCGCAAGGATTGGCTGGCGGAGATGTCCGTTTGCGTCGCACTTGTCTACAGAAGAAGGCCATAGACAAGAAAAACGTGAGTGCAACCCCTCTCGTGCTCAGCTTCTGTAATGAGCCAGAAGCGCTTTTGTTAACTAGAGTCTCGAAATATACATCTCCATTCTAGTTGTCAACCTCTATCAGCAGATATCTTCAAATCGAATATAAAAACCAAACCAAACATGGGACTGAAAATGGATAGCGATTTTGTTGCCGCCGCGGCTCCAGTACTCAGCACCATAGTAGGACCTCAAAAGCCGGAATTACACGACATAGAGGGTCGTAGGAGAATCTTCCCTTTTAGCAATACAGTGTCAATTGAAGAGGACACTAAAGGCTTAATGTTGGAAAAACATATCATTCCAGTGTCGGATGGTTATCAGCTTTTGATATACCACTACAAGAAAGAGGTCACTGTTGATCAAGCATCTCCTGCGCCAGCAATCGTTCACTTCCATGGAGGTGGTCTTATCACATCGAATGCGGCAAATTCTATCCCCATGATGTCTAAATATGTCCTCGCCACTGGGGTACAGGTGTTCTCTGTTGATTATCGGCTTGCGCCAGAACACCCATATCCGACACCTCTCGAGGATTGCTGGTCCGGCTTAAAATGGGTTTTGTCAAAGGCAGCCGACTTTTGCCTCGACAGCGCCTCTATTGCCGTTATGGGTGAAAGTGCTGGTGGTAATCTTGCAGCCGCAGTGACGCTGTTGGCGCGAGACCGAGGATTGGCTCCGCCACTAGCAAAGCAAATCTTAATCTACCCTATGTTAGATGACCGGAATTCATCTAAGAGCATTGGACCCGTGTGTATTTGGGACGAAGTCGACAACGTCACGGGTTGGACAGCATATCTAGGGCATAAACCTGGGCGATCTGGAGTGCCAATGTTCGCAGCACCCGCTCGTGCGGAAAGTGTTGAGGGTTTACCTCCCCTTTACCTAGATGTCGGACAGCTTGATCTGTACATGCTCGAGGATCTGGAATATGCTACAAAATTTGTGCAGGCTGGCATCGAAACGGAACTACATGTCTATCCAGGTTTACCACACGCCTTTGACTCGCTCATGCCTGGCCATCCTACGACCAAAATGGCGATGGAAAACAGATGTAGAGCAGTTCGAAGACTAATCCCCGATTCTTATGTCAATAGCGGGTCTATTAACTCCTGATTTAAAAATATTCGGCTCATTCTATATAGCAGATACGAATGGACCTTGGTAGTCTAGAAGGATGAATTGTAATCATTTTCATAACCACTTACGCATTCTCTTTAGACAGCACACGGTCTTTTTACTAAGGCTTATTATTAATCCTTTTGTATAACGTCAAGGATCAGTCATCCGGCCAAATCAGTCATCCGGCCACCCCACCTAACTTGGCCCACCGCTCTGCGCAACTGCTCTACAACAACGCAGTAAAATAAAATAAAATTAAGAGATATTATTCTTTAGATAGATTTACATGAGATCCGAGTATGTCCTTGAACGTGGCACTTCGTACACGTCGGCGGCGCGCGCTGACGTCGCTCACCAGCCTGGCTCTGGCTAGCCTCCATCACCACCCTTTCTGCTTCTGCAGCCATCTGCTGAGCCTGTTAAACTTAGAGCACTCCACTAGAAGCAATATATTAACGCTGCCAAGTCTGCTTTTGTCGTTAACGCTGGACTTCTATACGTAGCTTCTTATTCTCCTCTGCAAGTATTATTGCTGACTGCATTACTATTTAGCAACCTTTAATAACCTAGCATAGAAGCTGGCTTGTTGGGCTTTATGATTGCTGATGGAGCCGTTCTTAAAGAAGCTTTGCCTGCTGCTGAAGCTGAGCTACTATATGGGGTGTTTCTAGCTGCGTTGTAGCGTTATTATCTATAGTTATCTGTAGTAGAGACGGCGTGCGGACAACTATAAGTGACGATAAGACGCGATTAGGACAAGGAGGGATAAGTCCTGTCGCCTAGAAGCTTGCCTAGATATTCTTCTATATAAATACTATCGGCCGGATCCGTATATAGGCTGCAAGGAAGTCTGTCTTATTAACGTGGTAGACGCCTTAGCGGGCAAGCTCTTCAATCTCACGTCCGTACGTGCGCTTAAGCAGCGAGAAGCAGCTTACATCAAGCGGCTGGAGAAGATGCGACGTGTGCGGCGGCATGCAAAGAGTGATAATCTTATTCTCGGCGCAGTACTGGTCGAACTCTAGCGTAGCATGGCTACTGTAGCTGTCTAGGATAAGAAGCTGATAGACTCTAGCTGTACGAGCTGCCGTATACTGATTAAAGTGCTTCACCCACTCTAAGCCAAGCTGATCAGTCGTCCAGCCGTTGTCTGAGACGCCGATAGCCCAGTCTGGTGGGAGCCCATTATACTAGCTATTCTGGTGGAACTTGCCAGATAAGATAACTAACGGTGGCAGAGACCAGCCAGACGCGTTGACGCACTCGATCGCTGTAACCCACTCGCGGTTACCTAGCTGTACAATAGCTGCTCAGCTAACTCTATTAGAGCTAGTCACGACTTTTAACGTTATAGTAACGCCTATCGCGAATCCAGTCTCATTAAAGTTATAGATATCCTGGTTAAGAACGCCGTACGTCTAGCGCGTCTCTTCTACTAGCTTAAACTAGGCTGCAATTGCGACAGGATCCTTAGAAAGAGCGCGATAGCTACTAAACTTCCTAGTCCACTTCGTCTGAAGCTCTGGCTGGCTCTGGATAAAGCGCGACACCCAGCATTTGCCCACAGGTGCTGGAGGTGGATCTTAGCCACGCGCAGCGAGTAGAGCGTCCGCCATTCGTCGCACATCGATAATATGGGGCGGAAATCCTCGTCGATCAAGGTCTAGAATCCACTGTACGAGAGACTGCTCTTTAGTAGGTAATAGCTTTCTCTTCTTAGCATTAGTAAGAGCTTAAGGCTGGCTACCTTAAAGGCGGTCGTAAAGCGTTAAACGGGGGACATTAAGTAGCTTTACAGCTTTACGTTAACTCTTAATTTGATATCTTTTAATTGATTAAGATGCAAGACAAAGTCTACCTTGCCTTTAAGGCGATAGAGAGCGTCGTTGTCGTGTCATAGCTATTGTAGTGTAGAGCGTTGGGCTAAGTTAGGTGGGGTGGCCGGATGACTGATTTGGCCGGATGACTGATCCTTGACGTTAACGTGTTTTATCAGTAAGCGGCCCACATCAGTAAGTGGCCCACCCCACCAAACTTAGCCCAACACTCTACACAACCACCACTATGCCGCGACAACAACGCTCTANANAGACTTCTCGTGAAGCTAGAGTACTTCTAGCATCTCNTGCGCTTCAAGAGAAACGTGTAATAAGCCAGCGTTAAGCTGCTATGCTATACGACGCTCCACGAACGACGCTCCAACAACGCCTTCGCGGTACCTAGCCGCGATCAGAGACAGCCTCTGTTAATCGCAAGCTATCAGCTATTAAAGAGCAGTCTCTTATTTAATAGATTCTAGATTTAGATTAATAAGGTTTTCCGCCCTATAACGTACCTCACGGGTTCGTGTCACACACGGGTTCGTGTCACACACGGGTTCGTGTCACAGTTTTGCCAAGCCCCCACCAAAACCACTACATTATGGCCCAAAACAGCCCACTTTGGACCTATATAGCGCAAAGAAATACAATTTATTATTCTAAGGCTACTTCTGCTACCTACTTG